TTTACGAGATTTCACGGCTCGACAAATCATAATAGAAGAATATAATTTCTTTAATTTTACTTTTTTTCATCTGGTGAGATTTTTCTGATGAAAATGATATCAAACACGATATAATTTGAACAATACTTACTTATTAACACGTTCACTGTCTGGCGTGACATGTTGTTCAAATTATGTCGTGTTTTATGTCGTTTTCATCAGAAAAATCTCATCAATATGTTAAGAAAAATTTCGGGATAAAAAAACGTAAAATTAAAAAAGTTGGTATTTAAATCGCTTGGTTGCCTCGACTCACGTTTCATGCTTATCTTTTATTCGCTGTCCTTGTCTACGTTCGGCAAACTACAAAGGCGGGCGCGAGGCTCGAAAACGTAGTCCCTGACTCTACGAGTGTCAGGTTTAGCTTCCTTGCGGTCTGACACTTGTGGAGAATATACTGTATTTTGTTGCACGTTTCCAATCAATTTTCCGCAAAGTTTTGGGAGTTATTTAGAAATATGTGGGAGAACTTTTGCGTCGCTCTGTACTACAGATACAGTTTCAACTCGATATTTCTAAAGTTTTTCTTAGACATTCGACAAAGTTGGAATTTGACAACAAACGAGCAATAGATTAAAAATTAATAATATCATTTTATGAGGCGTGTTACGAAGAGAATTCATCTCACGCACGAATGCACTTGCATCATTCGTGATGCATCTGGGTTAATCTCTGCTCTACCTGCAATTCTCACCTAGCGCGGCCTCTCTATTTATCTTCTGATTTCAATTCAACTCTGCAATCTTACATTGCTCAACTACGTACCTCACGCTACCTCATATACATGCTGTCTATTTATCCTTCCAACTGCAACGACAAGTAATCACACCTTCTGAACATTTCTGTCATCATTGTCGAATGTGAAGCAAAACTGAATAGTTATTACGGAATTATTAAGATCCCGAAAAAAAAACTGATTCAGCCTGGAATAAAACTCCTAAATATCTATTTCCATTTAAGGTACCACGAGAAAAATGAGATTCTAATAGTGAGTCATTGATTATGCCACATCATTCTCACAAAATTGAGTTTGAAAATGAGGTCTGTTGTAGGTGGTTGAATTTATCTCCGCAACCGTTTTCATATAATGCAAGAAAAATTATAGTTTTCAATTAATTTGCAATACTTTATAAATATCATTTCTTGAGGATCAAGAGCCTTGACTGAAAATTTCTCCAAAGGTAGCCAACTTTGATCAATTTAAAAGTATTCTTCCTCTTTAAGAAAGACAACGGTGTTTCTTCTGAAATTTTTCTAAAAGCCATTTCTCCACATTTGTGGAGATTTCTGTGAATATACATACATGTCTCTATACCAGAAAAAGACGTTAATTTTCTCTATTCGAAGATCCCAGATAGCTTTTATACACCTTGGTATGTTTGAACAAATAGACAGATTTAACGTTTAATAGAGAATTTGTTTTACAAAGCGTCGCAGGCTCGTTTACACTGGCAAATGTCGCAGGATTCTTCTCCACAGCTTCTCCAAGATAAGTTAGAACTTATACCTCGTTCTTTTTTAGGACGACTGTACCCCCGTGCGTTGACCTGCCCTACATTTGCCGATGCAGTGCGGGTTGCCGGTTCACAGGCTCCGGAGAATCTTTTTTTAATTGTTTATAGTCGAAAAATGAAAGAAAAGTCGCGTAAAGTATTTTTACCGCTGATTTTTCTTTTATTTTCTCGTGTATAATCATCCTTTCGAATTTCTCTCACGTGCTGTATTTCGTTTTGCAATGTTTACACCTGACAGCATCGTCACATATAAATTACCAATGATCTATGATTATTGTCACGAGTGAAATTTTGGCGACAACGACCTTTATCTCACTGTTCAATCGAGATAAATGTAAAAGACCGTTACAGTGTGAAAAACTCAATGCAACCGTCACTTTTTGCAAATTAAACTGTTTTCCATAAGTTACATCGAAACGTAAACTTTTTAATCTGAATCTTCGCAGAAATGTAGTTCAAGTGAAGCTAATTACGAAACTAGTGTTTATTTCGACAGTGAAACGTTCTTAGGGCTAAAAACACCCCATCGAAGAAGAGAGAATAAATTAAAAAAAAAATTTATATTTTTCGAAAATTATCGATCATCGCGATATAAGACATCTGTGAATTTAACTGCCTTTCGATATTTTGCACAGTCTCGTAAATATTCACCCCCAGAACAATTCCATCGCCGAGACAAAACATAATTTCCTTATCATTTCCACGAACTTCCAAATTTTCCAGTTATCCGTTACTCCGAAAGATCCGCCGGAAAACTGTCACTCCTGACACAGGACACACTAGAATACTAGACAAAGCAAGGACTTACGACTTCGCTGCGAGCAGCTCTGATAGCCCGTAAAAAGTCATCGTGCGTCTGCTTCCAAGCGGACCTGGACTTGGAGAATTTGTTGTCCGGCGAGTGTCGTTTCTTCTCCTGTCTAGGCAAAAACTCCGCCAGCTCTGTTCCCTTGATCCTCTGTTTAGCCGAGTCGAAGGGTTTCCTCCTCTTGTTCACCGATCGTTCGCAGATCTTGACATGCTTCTCCAACGACTGCGGCATAAAGGTCCGTGCGCAGATAGCGCACGGCAGTAGGATGGGCGGCACATCTATGTCCATTTACCGAGAATTAGTCAGCTGCTGTGCGGTCTTCTCCTCTGAGATTTGTCCGTTTACGGAGCAGAATGAGTCAGAACGATCGAAACGCGGTAACTAACAGCAGACGGATCGGTAACGACAATGTCTTCGACGATGCATACACGTCACAGGTATCTATTGATCTCGTTCGATCGATAAAATCCATCATTTCTGACTCAGCCTGCGTTCGCTCGATTGTCACACATTTGAACGCGCCGAGAGATATTAATTTCAACGATAATCTTGTTAACTTAAGTCACACATTCCTCGTTTTACCATTAACTATCACCCTAATTGTCAGTTCGATTAGTGTCATTCCGTGGTGAAAGATTAATTCATCAAACTCATGCTGATCCTTGCACAGTCACTCTCCTCCAAACTCTTCTCATTCTAAATTTTCGTCACTTTGATTTTTCCAGGATCAACGGAAGAATAGCCAGCAAACGACGAAGAAGATTCGAGGAAGATTGTTAAATCGATCGACGAACGAAGAGGAGATCGTTTGTTTGGAGAACGCGAGCGCGTGTGAATCGCGGACACCTGCCTGGGGTTCTCCTATTAAACGAAGTCCAACGACGACAACGCTAAAGAGGAGGTGGATGAGGACGAGGTGTCGCCTCTGCGAGAACAACTCGCCTACGGACGAGCAAGCTTCCTTTTTTGGAATTACCAGTTAACCGTTCGAGTATTATGTATCTGTTGTGTCTCTCTCGTTGAGGAGAGCCTGCCGCGTGTTGCTCTCGTGCCGACAATTCCTTCCGTCCTCGCTCTTTTCCGACGATCGCATCGCCACATTACGGTATAACGCCTTTTCGAAGTGTCACCTTCACGGCCGGCAATCGTTATTCCGCCGAGATCGATCGATCGTGACCGATCGTTACTACGATTTTCGTTCACCTTATGCGGTAGACTTGTGGTTTATAGTGATCGCGAGGGTGAGACTGAAGGAGGGTCGGAAGATTGATATGAGCGTGTTATGAGTATTTATACTTGACTGCGGCAAGTGTGCAGATAAACGAGCAGATTTGAAACAATTATTATTGCAGACGGTATAATGAAATTTTGATTAAAAGAAGAAATTAAATGTAAATCTTTGAAGATTTGATTTAAGATTGTGCAATTATAACAGAGAAGGGTGGTAAAATGAAAATATTAGTGTTGTCTGATTTAGAAATGTAACGTTTATTATTAGTACAAAGAAAAATATTGTTTTGGTTATGTAATTATTTATTAACGATAGAAACGCGACGGAGAAGCTATTTCGATTGCAAAATAAGTTTTTCCTTTAGCGAAGTTGCTGCAGACGTTTAATCGACGAGGCTAGAGTCGAAAGAAACAAGTCGTAACGTTGATAATAATGCAATTAGTAGGAAGGTGTAAAGCATGAATGAGCAACGAAGACTGTAAAACAGAAAATAACAGCATTAGAATTCTCCTCCATTGCCATTCGACGAGATATAATGAATTCTGTGTTACCTACGTGCAACACCAGTTCCAGGAACATTTAACAATCTATTTACAATGTAAACAGTGAGAGAGAGAGAGATGGTAATTTGTGCTGCTTGATAAATACTGATTTACAAAGAGAAGAGAAACTGAGAATAAACCTGAAACTTTATCATACCCACTGTATTCTCTGGACAGTACAATCTCTTTTTATGATACAATATTGTTTAGTGGGCAACAAATTTGACAATATCAACTCTACAAGAAATAACGTTGAGAGATACTTAAATCAAAATCCAAAGAAATTTTGCAGTGAGATATTTGGCCTTGCCAAAAAGAGGAAAAAATTGTGGAACAAGAGGATGAATACATTCTTCTCCAACGTTTAAAGGTATGTTAGAAATATTGATCTAAATAGCACATCAATAATACAAACACTACCTTTTATATCTTGGAAATGAACAATTTCCAGACCCATGCTTATACGACCTCATTCTTAAAATCAGTGAAACACACTTCCAAAGTTTATCCACCCATTTCTATTACACCCTGTATAAATTAGAATAGGAGTAGATACAAAAAAGTATTCAATATCTAGAATAGAAGAATAATATCGATTAATCAACACCTAACAGCCATCTAATTCAATGATAACAATTTTTCGTTAGTGATTAATAAGAAAACATAATTGGCAGACACGAGGGAGATCCAAGACGAACGAGAAGCAGTAACAAATACTCAAACGAATTTCCACTGTTCAGATACAAATCTCACCTGGTTCAGGGGATTGCTCGATTTGTAATACTTTTGCCAACGAGACAGGCTGATTTTTCGACCAGGTGTGATCATATGGTGGCCCTTGATCTACCTCTAAAGCGGCTCTCCTCGAAACGCAGCACAACATCGAAGAGCATGGAGACACATCGACTGAGCCTCTCTATTGGCACGAGGCTGCTCTTGTACGCCAACGTGCACACGATCTCGTTCTCTTCTCTTATAAAAGAGGTTTATTTTAGGTGTTACTGCGAGAGCATCAGGAGTGCCACTCCTTCTTTCTCGTACCGATGAGAGACTCTCTGACTCGAACGAGAGGACTGCTATTTCAGGCTAATCCCTACGTAATTTCTACTTCGAAATTTTTTCCACTAATTTCATCAAATATTCGGTTCTTTTTGCGTTATCCCTCGAATACCGTTTACTCATCGTGCAAAACGAACCACGCAAAGTAGTTACGAACGAGGTAAAAATTGTTACATCGCAGCGTCCTAATCGAGAGCAATCGAAATAGTTCTTAACAGAATTGTTATCGTATAAAATGAAAGTGTTAATTTTGAAAAACGTACTTTGAAATATAAAAGTTTGCAATTTTGTACAGTTTCGCGCGAAGTATAATTTTAAGCAGAGTGTTTCTAAATTGCGATTTGTGAGAGTGAATTATTTCACGTGCTGTATAAAGATCCTTGATAAAAAATAACAAACGTGTTTTTGTATGAATGAAAACGTGTTATCTAACGCAGCTAATCTGACACGGTGCAAAATCAATGGAGCAGGTTTAATTATACGTGACATAATTCATTCACACCTCGTAGAGTGCGTAACATGAGAATAAATATTGCGCTGGTAGGTAACGGTCACCATAGGCCACATGTCGTCCATAATAAACGTTTCGCTTCAGAGTATTGCCTCAACTAAAAGGGGTTAATTCTGCGTTGTACTTTAAAAAGTATAACGCAGAATTATACATTTTAAGTTGCTGTTTATTAAGTTTATTATTAAATGTATTAAGTATTATTCAGAATGATACTTTTACGCGTTAATATTCAAAAATACGCTACCTCTTTTTTCAAAGGTAACTTGGTGAATTTAATACCATCGGCGTAAAAGTTCAACAACACGGAAAATTCTTATTCACCGTTGTCACGCAAAGAAGTATCGATTGCATATAAACTTCTGCTCTTATTTCGTTTCACGTGTTCCGCTTCCGGTAAGCACAGTACTAACCCGCACGACATGGCTCACGATTATGTATAATGATTTAATGCGCCGATGGTATATATATAAATTTCGTAGATTTGATCAATACTCTGAGTACATTAAACCATATGGAAAAGTATACAGAGTGTAACAGAAATAGATGGACAAATATTAGGAGCGTGTTCTGTTCATCTTAATCCTTTCGTTACAAAGAGCGTGTAAATTTAGTCGTTTACGGAAGGCGTGTGTACCGGGTGTCCAAGGTTTCTTTCGATGAAACTTTGTCAGTGTGTTCTATGGGCATAGAAAAGAAGAGAATGTTATATAAACATGGGTCGTTTGAAATTTTGTTAAGAAGTTATAACGATAATATGAAATTTACCTATTTCTGTTACACCCTGTATAGGTTAGAATAAGCGTGGATATGAAAACGAATTCAATATCTGCACTGCGTACTGAAATATAGAATTATTATCCGTGATATATTAAAGAACAATACAAATAATAATTGTGTAAATAAATAAAAATTATTTCCTCCATGATAACGATAAATTTGTGCGAAATATTTGATGTTACTTGTTAAGCGTGTAAAAAGCAGTTGAATTAACTTGCGATCGAAATTATTTTAACAATTCCGTATATATATTTAAACATAGTAATTATAAAGGAAAATTCGAAAGTAAAATTAATTATAACAGTAAACGGCACATA